ACAGACTATACATAGCTTATGATGAATGCATTAAGTCTGATTTACTACTAAACATCACCATCAGTCACACAACATGTATTCATAATCAAATATTTCCATCAATCAGCACAACTTGTGGTCAAATGAATACATTCTTTCAATTAATCTTTACACAATGGACAACACAATATAAAATACAGCTATCAATATGAACTAGTTCAGCCGTAATGTGCGCTTTATGCCTGTGTCATTTGTTGATACTTTAGTTACAGTATGTGCCAAAAAAGCAAGAAAGCAAATCTCAACATGAGTTGAATTCTTTTCTCAGATTTTACTAGAGAAAACAAACCCTGCTGCAGTCTGCTCTTTTTACAATTTTTGAGACGCCCTGTTAAAATGCTGTCATAATGTTATTCTTGTGTACAGGCCTTTCTGTGCCCATCAATTGATGTTGACATGTACCACAAGAACCAATACAGAATGGCATCCAGAGTACAAATACTACAAATACTTAGAAACACCTTTTTTATTGTACTGGATTAAATTTTTCCATGTCATTCTTTTATGCTGGACCGCAGCAGCCACATATTAGCTTTAGGCCTAGTTTTCATTCCATCCTTGAATCCAGCACTTTCCGAAATGCTGAATACTCAGGCTCCTGTGCCATGGCCTCTTCCTCCACTTTTGGCCTGGTGTGACTGTCTCAAAACATCCATTTTACAAACTCTCACACAACTCCTGTAATATAATCCAAGTCTCATTCATCTGGCCATATGCTCAGTATTTCCCAAACACATGCATTTTCATTAAAACATTACCATTTAAAACATTTCTGCGTAAATAGTCCAGTATGCACCTGGGCAAGCAACACTGGAGGCATGCGGGGAAAACTGTCTTCACAAACTCAAGGTAACCTGGGGTGAGTAATTAATAAACACATTGTCATTTTGTGGTGAAAGTAATCCTTTAAGGCAAAAGAGAGAGACAAGAAACAAATTAGTCAAATGTAACTGCAGTAAACTGTACACACTCAGTTCAAGCTGCTGCACAATCTGCCTATCAATTCATTCAATCATTTTTAAGACTGTTTGCAATCTGTTTTCTGAACACAAATCATTACATATAG